GGATGGATGGATGGATGGATGGATGGATGGATGGATGGATGGATGGACAGACAGTTGGCTGGCTGGCTGGACAGCTAGATGGACATCTGGCTGGATGGACAGATGAATTACGTGTGCCTTCAAATCAGTATAGACTGTATGGTGGTTGATTCCATTGACCCTGCAAACTATGAGTACTAACTACTGCATGCTGAGCTAAGATATGGGTGGCTGAAAGGTTCAGCACTCTAAAACAGGGGTCCCAAACTGCAGGCTGTAGTCTACTACTAGGCTGTGGCCTATTCACAACCGGGCCGTATAGCTCCACTCGCGGTGGCCACTGGCCTCATATTCCCACTCACACAAATGAAGCTATGAGTGTACATGCCTGCCCCTCATGCAAAACCATCCTGTCAATGTTCCAGGTAATAGCCGCATGGAAAGCAGAACTCCGAGGCAGACAGATTCCTCAAAGAACGGTTTTATTAAAGATATCCTATTGGCACAAACTGGTGAAAACCGACTCTGAAACTTCCCGTGTTTTTCACCTGATTAAAATGTGAAAGTTCCCCCTTCCCCCAACCAATCAGACACATTGTCCAATCAAGGTGCTGGCTGGTTGCCTGGTTACTTCACCCCTCCTTCCTCCAGCCACCTGTTGGAATGTCCTTGGTTCCCACAGGAAACTATTTTGTTTTGTCTACAACCCGTCCCCCATCTAACTATGTTCCCCCTCCCTATCCTTTCTTCGCATTGTGGCAACCCTGAAGCCCCCCAAATGGCCTCATCCTGGTTCAGTTCAGAGTTGACACATCCCCTCTTCCCACCTTCCTCCCATGCTGGACCACCAACCCAGAAAGGTCAGGGAACGCTGCTCTAAACTGCGTCCTAGTGTAAGGTTATTTTCAATCCGCATTAGGGACTTCTCACTGGAAAGGACTCCTAGGTATTTTTCCTTGCTTCTGCAGATATTCCAAGTTGTCAGATCCTGCCAATTGGCTGAATATTAATGCCACAAATGGTCAGATCATCACTGCAGCTGTCCTTGATCGCGAGTCAGCCTACGTTAAGAACAATGTCTACGAAGCCACGTTCCTGGCAGCTGACAACGGTAGGCTCTAGCACTCCGCTCTTCATGCTTCAATAATAATCTGGCTGACATAATTCCCTGACACAGTTGTCAGTATAATTTATATGTTCCCAGGTTTTCCTAGTTCTTTTTTGGGGGGGTGGGAAGATCTTCATGAAGTAGAGATGGGATGCTGTCAAAAGAAATGAAATGTTCACAGGTTACAATGGAAAAGAAAACTAGGGCGAACAGAAGAGGAATGTAAGAAATTAGAAGGTTTTGCCATATTTATGTGTTAAATTCTATTTGTTAAGGATGTCCCAAAGGTGCTTTTTTCAAAAGGCAACTGGACTTTGTTTCTCTTTGAAGAAGTTTTGCTTCTCATCCAAGAAGCTTCTTGAGTTCTGTCTTCACTGCTGAAGAAGCTTCTTGGTTGAGAAATGAAATGTCTTCAAGGAAGAATGAAGCTCAATTACCTTTTGAAAAAGCACCTTTGGGACAACCAGGACCTGGATGACTGAGAATCTCCATAACATTTGCGAAGCATCCAATCTGAGTCAGTCACTGGGACCAAAACTTTACTCTTCCAAGCTTTCTCTCTCCCCCTCTCCCTCCTCCCTCTCTCTCTCTCTCTCTCTCTCCCTCTTCCCCTCTCCCTCCCTCCCTCTCTCTCTCCCTCTTCCCCCTCCCTCTCTCTTCCCCTATCCCTCTCCCTCTCTCTCTCTCCCTCCCTCTTCCCCTCTCCCTCTCTCTTCCCCTCTCCCTCTCCCACTCTCTCCCTCCCTCTTCCCGTCTCCCTCTCCCTCTCTCTCTCTCTCTCTCCCTTTTCCCCTCTCCCTCTCTCTTCCCCTCTCCCTCTCCCACTCTCTCTCTCCCTCCCTCTTCCCATCTCCCTCTCTCTCTCCATTTTCCCCTCTCCCTCTCTCTCTCTCTCTCTCTCTCTCTGTTTCCAGAATATGTGCCCTGGGCTGTTCTATGCATGTTGCATTTATCTGGTTCCTGGTTTTGTGTTGATGGCTGACTATTAAGTTGTTAATTGTAGTTTCCTTGTTTATTTGTTAAATTTATTTGCCACCTATATCTCACTGTGGGGCTACTGTAGGCATCTTGGCATGAGTGGAGAAGCAGACAGAAAAGGCAGGAGAAAGGATGGACTTCCTGTATGTTCCTAATCTTCTACAGCTGGTCCTCGACTTACAACAGTTCATTTAAATGGCCGTTCAGAGTTACAACAACGCTGAAAAAAATGACCATTTTGCATAGTTATGACCTTTGAAGCATCACCACGATCATGTGATCAAAATTCAGATGCTTGGCTACTGGTTCACATTTATGACCGTTGCTGTGTCCCCTTTTGCCACCTTTTGACAAGGAAAGTCAATGGAGAAGCCAGGTTACTAACTTACCCACTGCTGTGATTCACCTAACAACTGTGGCAAGAAAGGTCATAAAATGGGGCAAAACTCTCATTGAACAAAGGTCTCACTTAACAACTGAATGTGGGACTCAATTGTGGTCGTAAGTCGAAGAATACCTGTATTACCAAGTAAGAGACACGTCTGAGGACAGAAAGGGGAGAGGCTCCATCTTGAAGTCAAGAACAATCTAAGGTTAAAAGAGAAAGAATTGCATGAAAGCTGTCGCTGTATAGATTGGAAAACATCAAAGTGAGGTGTGCTTTACCTTTCGAGTGACCTCAAGCAACCTTGTCACAATCTACACAATTCGCTCAATTTTGTTGCAGGGCTAAGAATCACCAGTGGCATCTTTACTGACAAGCAGATCAGATATTGAAACTGCCCTACTGTGTCCTTTAAATCACTGGATGTACTGAAGACACTGCTGTGTTCCTCACCCCACTCTGCAGTCTAACAGGGGGGATAAGTCTAACAGGCATCGGAATAAAGAGTCAATCTGCTTTCAAAACCTGATTTCTTCCAATAGCTGCTGTGTTTCCTTTCAAGCATATATTTCACCTAAGTAGTTATCTATCTATCTCTAATATTTATCCCCCACTGGGCCTCTATGGAGTTCTGGTTACTAACAAAATCAATAATTTTTTAAAAAAACCTAGAAACATAGAACAGTAGAGAAATGTTTCAGAAGCCCTAAATTAAATACCATATTTTAAAAGCAGTTAGATTTTAACAAACAAAGAAAATAAATCCAAGATAGGTAGCCTTCCTTATCATCTTCCTAGACCCTCCCTCCTAAAATTTACTTTGACTTTGGACAACACTGGCATGCATTGTGGCCTTAACAAGAGTCACTTTGGAGAGTGACATGGGCGGCATGTAAATTTAATGAGCAATTCAATAAAACAAATTATTCCGGCAGGAATGTGGCCCTCCAGATTTAGGCAAAGCCACCAAAGGATGGTTGCGTCGGGCGCAAAGGACCAGGACTATACATAAAGAAAGATTTATTGTTTAAGCCTATACACAACAATCTAGTCAAATTAAGCTCATTTCTGAATCAGCTCCAGATAAGGGTCAATGGAATTCAAAGGGGAGGGCTGGACTTGGATCATTTGTGACAACGTAAGGATTCTAAGCTGATGGCATGTTTAACTCTGTCCCTCAACTCTGCCTTCTCTTCTCCTATAGTTGTGCTATTTTTTCAGTCCAACTTACAATTAGCTTCAATGGTATGTTGGGGAAGGACTCCCCCAAAGTTGGATCTGTACATGCTTCTCATGATTGTTATATCTCTTTGCTAGTTTCATGTTAACTTGTGTGGTTTGATGGCATTTCTGGATGTAGAAGGCTTGGCGTCCTCGGCTTGGAGACCTCTTCTTTGAGAGCTTCTCAAGCTATCTACCATGAATTCCTTGAAGTTCCAACCTCCAAGAGGAAGAAAGCCTTGATTTTAATATGAGCAACTTACCTGCCAGTAGTGGTACCCTTTTTTAAGGCTAAATTGCCTTTCAGAAGAAAACCATTTCCATCAAGAGGTCTTGTTGCTGATTGGGAAATGCCACCCATATGTACAGTGAGGACTAACTTATAGCATCATTTAAAGCAGGGGTGTCAAACTCGAGGCCCACGGCCAGATGCGTCACATGCTGGCCACCCCCACCTCCATTTTAGCGAAGGGGGGAAGTTGCAATATGTCACGTGATGACAATGTGACGACACGAGTTTGACACCCCTGAATTAAAGGAATCTTTAAACTATTACAAATTCCTTTATCCTAACAGCATCCAGCATCTTGAATCCAGGGTTGGACTTTGTCCCTGTTAGCACCAAAAGCTTACAATAGTTTTCATAAGTTTAGCTCTCGTCTGACCCTATTCTTTTCTTTTCCTTCTTTACTAAGAATTAGTCCAGAAGGTTCAAAAATAAGTTTAGGGATCTTCTTTGTTACTCATGCTTGGAATTAAACCAATGCATGTGGGACCCAACCTAGAGCTTTATTATTTAAGGGAAGAACTTCCATTTTACTGTCTTCTTCCTCCCTGCCAATCTCCTTCAATGCCCCACCATGTTAAGAAGATACATTATGAGTGTAGTAGATGAAAAGAGCTCCCTCCTACATCAATTTGGATGATAAGAAGGCATTATGGTATTGGTAGACAATGGGTTAGTTAGGCAGGAGAACTTAATAGACATAATACTTCCAGTTCAAATGTCCCAAAAATACTTTTTCAAGAGGGAATGGGACTTTCTTTGTTTTTCCTTGAAAACCTTTCGCTTCTCACCCAAGAAGCTTTTTCAGATATGACATGTCAGAATATTCATGAACTGGCAGAGACGTGGTAACAAGATCAGCCCATGAATAGCATGAGAACAGATCAGCCAATGGGAGCTGAATTAGAAACCGAAACTTAAAGAGAGAGTCTGGGCATGACTTACCTCTGCTCTGAGCTCTGAAGCTGCTGCTTGTGTTTTGCTTGTGTTACAGTGGAAGAATCTACTATTGGTATTGTATATTTTACTTATATTATTATGTATATAAAGAAGTTAATGAATCCTGCTGAATCAGTCATCTGAGTGTGCTTTCTGGATTTGAAATTCTGCTGCAAAATCTAACATGACAGGATGGGGGGAATGGAAGGCTTTGTGAAGGATTTCCATTCTCTACCATTCAGTCAGAACTGAAGGAGCTCCTAGGATGAGAAGTGAAATGTTTTCAAGGAAAAACAAAGAAAGTCCAGTTGCCTCTTGAAAAAGCACCTTTAGGACAAGGATGACCTGGATGCCAGGAGAGTCTCCCGACATTCAGCTCAATGTTCTCTTTCTCGCAACCTACTTATTGGAAAGGTAGGCTAAGCATAAATCTAGAGGACTCATATTAACATTTTCCAGTTCTGTTCGACTTTTGTGAAAGACGAGCATTCACCTAAACATCCTCCTTACAGACAACTTCAGGCAAATGCAGTTAAAACCATGGGCTTTTTTTTTGCTTTGCATCAAATCCAAAGAGGGTTTTGAGGCAGGAAGGCTGGAGAAAACTTCAACAGCCAGCAGCTGAAACAAACTCATGAGATCTGAGGTTAGGAGGGCTAATATAACAGCCACAAGAAATGGTCACACCGAGGTTCATCAGGGATTCAGAGATTCTTCAGTCAGCAAAAGCAAACAGGAGACATAAGCCAGAAAACTTTTTAAAAAGAAGTTAAGAAAGAAACCATCAAGATTCAGGAAGCTTTTTTTAAAAAAAAAAGTTTGGAGAAAGGGTTCATAACATGAGTTCTAAAATGGAGCTGTTTTAAGAAACAGTGAAAATATCCAAAATAAAACATCCTGCAGTTCACAAAGGAAGGAAAATGACAGTATGGTCTTTCTTTCTCCTAACTAGAGGGAAATGACTGAAACAGGTTGAGATGCAGGGTGTGGGAAATGTGCATGTCAGTGTGAGCCAAGAATTGTATGAAATGTTGGTGGATTTTAAACCTGCGTAAAAGTTACGAAGAACTTGACTTGGAAACTTAATAGAGCCAAACCTTATTTTAAGCGACAAACATTGAAAGATAGCTGGAAGGAGTCTTTGCAATGGGAATCTATATATCATGAGATGATTTCAGTCATGGCTATAACCCCAACAATACAAGGGGACAAATTGTTTCCCATTTTACCAATGTTTTTCAACCTTGGCAACTTTAAGATGTGTGGACTTCAATTCCCAGAGTTCCCCTGCCAGCATGCTCCTTCCTGATCAATTATTAGAGATTCTGAATAATGAAACCGGAAGCCTTCTCCAAGCCAAACAAGCATATGTGACTTCTCCAAGCTTGAAAATACTGATAGGACCGGGGTGGGATTCAAATTTCTTAACAACCGGTTCTGTGAGCATGGCCTAATTTTTGGGTGTGGCTTGGTGGTCATGTGACTGGGTGGGGGAATGGTTTGTTCATTGGGTGTGGCTTGGTGGTCACATGACTGGATGGGCATGGCTTGTACGTAAATATTGTAAATATTTAATTTTTTTATTTAAAAAGAGCAATTTTTACCCAAAATCAGGCAGAGCAGGCAGGCAGATTGAGTTGCTCGCAGAATCACAGATTCATTCATCTATCTTTCTGCAGTTTGCTACCTGAGTCCATCACATAAAATTTGCTTGCAAGCAAACTCATAAAATTTGGTAGCAAGCAAACTCACAAATTAAATCACAACACACCATGTATATAAATATTTATTTTTTTATATATAAATAAAAAAGAGCAACTTTTACCCAAAATCAGGCAAAGCAGGCAGGCACTTAGAAATCTACCTTTCTGCAATCTGCTACCTGAGTCTGCACTGAAAAATAGAAGGTTCAGTCCTAAGGAAGGTTCAGCTCTGCTTTTAGATTAGCTAGAAAGCAAGAAATCCAACAATTTCCAACAATTTAGATTAGCTAAATCTAGCTAATCTAAATCTCCCGGCAAAGCAGAAGAGCTGATGGTTGGGGGATGGGGAGGAAGAAAAATAGCAATTTAGCAAGTAAGTTTGATGGCGTGCATGCCAGGTGGGGAATGAGTGGGCAGGGAGGGGAGGGGCCAGCCAGTGGTGCAATTTGCCGGTTCTCCAAACTGGACAGAATCATAACAAGCGGTTCTATAGAAACGGTCCGACCAGGTAGAATCCCACCCCTGGATAGGACCTTCATGAATCTAAGTCCATCCATATAACTTCCTCATCTCACTCTAGAAGGGCAAAATCCATACGTAATAGAAGGGACTGTGGACAATACCACGAAGAAAAATTCTGTAGGTTTCCACCCCCGTTAGTCATACTTTTACTGGGTGCATTTTATGTAGACGGAACAAGAGAAAGACAACCTGTGGTGAGATGCACATCAAGCCTTCTGAAATTCTTTCCAACCAGTAAGGCATACATGCAGCAGCTATACTTCCATTGTTAATTTGTAGTGGGGTTATATATTTGCATATGGTGTGCATGTGTGTGTTTCTTAGCCTTTGTCACTTATGTATGTGTTTGTGCCCTTGGGTGCCCTTGGAAGTGCAGGGTAAGCTTCATTCCAATCTGATCCTTTTGGGTGATGGAAGCTCCCCAAGTGCAGTCACCAGCCACTTCGATCGGCCGGTAGAAGCAGCCTCGGGGCGAGCGCACACACACGCTCCCCTCCCCGCGAGGCCGCTTCTATTGGCCAACGAAAGCTCCCCAAAGGCAGAGTCCCCATCTACTTCAGGGCGAGGCGTGGCTGTCCGTGTCCCCTCACCTTTAGGCAGTGTCTTTCAGGCGATGGAAGCTCCCCAAGTGCAGTCACCTACTACTTCGATCGGCCAGTAGAAGCAGCCTCGGGGCAAAGTACGTGCGTATGGGCTGCTCTAGGTGGGGGAGGAAATTAAGTCACCCCCGAAAAGACGGCCTAGCCATTTTTTCAGGGGTCAAAAAAAAATAGGGCCCGGCCTTATTTTGTGAGAAACACGATAGATAGATAGATAGATAGATAGATAGATAGATAGATAGATAGAT